CGCTGGCCTTACGCGTCTCGACATGGTCCGGAATACTGACATCCGGAAAAGCCTTGGAATACAGCCTTTGCTTCTCCAGGTTGAGAAGTCACAGCTGGGATGGCTTGGGCATGTGTTGCAAATGCCTCCAGAAAGGAAGGCTAAGCAACTGTTCCTTGCCCAACTGACCGGTAGAAGACCCACGGGACGGCTGGTGCAAATATATTGAAAGAGTCTGATCTATAATGCGGTTGTCTTCTGCCGAGGTGCAGACTCTAGCACACAGTCGGAAACGTTGGAAGCACTGTCTGGTGCGTCTGCCTCCGCAACCCAAACGGAGAAACGGTCGTGGAAGACGAAGAGGCAGATGAAATAAACTGCCCTGGGAATATCTGCGGATGTACGTCGACGTGAAATAAAGATGCTCGTTCAATTAATGGAAAAGTCTTGGACAGGCCTTCATCCAGCAGTTAGAAAACACGATTTAATCCAGTGGCTTTTTCAGTAGATACTTAATCCTTTCAAGCCTGATTCTGTAGCATGTGGTACTGTTCTTTGTACTCTGTTAGGAGCCTGGCACGCAATCGAAGATTTCGAATTCCCCATCATTGCATTTGGGAAAAACGCAGAATTTGGTACACTGTGGCGATAACCTAGCAGTAAGGTTTACGTTCTAACAGTGTAATGATTCCGGGTGAGGAAACTGATACGAACACGAATGAACGAATGACGCCATGTCTTGAGCTGGACGGAAGAAAGGTACTCGTCATGGCAAAGATGGAGTCGTCGACAACCAAACGGTCGGAAACTGATCTTCACATCCAACTTTTGTTTTCAGACGCTTAGAGAACCGTCACTGCGGACCTCAGCTCCACTCCACAGCAACTGAGTACTGCAGAGCTACGACGAGTCATATTTCATTTTATTCGCTAAAGCAAATAACTTTGCTCAACATTAAAAATCTTTGCATCCCAAGCGATTCGGAAATTGTATTATATGTCCAAAAATATTCTGCTTCTAGATGCAAGCAAAAAAGCTTTCTGTTAGATAAGCATCTGAATAGCGGCGAGGAGAGTAGAAGTTAAGAAGAGCGCTATACTAGAAAGTGGTACCGTTATGTGCCTGAATGGTAGTTTTGCACACGTGATTGGAATGTCACTTATTAGATGGTTTGCGTGCTTAAATAATAAGGGCCTGACTCCAAACATAGTGAACGATAAAAGTATTCTGAATGCTAATTCAAGCAACGTCTTTAAAGTTGACTCCATCATTTCCACTTGAAGTCCAGTTGAATGATCAAAGGACGGAGAAGGTAAGCAACGAATCACTGGTGAAGCTCTTTGGAGTTTATCAGTGATTACCGAATCCGAAATTCGTATACAACGCATCAAAGCATAGGAGATTGTGATCATTTTGTCAGTTTGGACGACGGTCACCAGAATTACGAAGCTTCCAAGCAGCAGACAATGTTCATGATATCAAAAACCAATTCACTTGTTAAGTAAAGAACTCAGTGTTCTGGGGCGACAATGGATGCAGCAAGGAAAAGAAAAGCAATCTGACAGCCTACGAAGCAACTGAGTAGATGAGGTCAAACTGAAACACCAAAGCAGAAGACGCTATGCTCAATCGGCCTGCAATAAACTAGTCCAGAATCCCTCAAACTTAAGAATTCCTTACTCATCACCATCAGAAGACGAAATCCTTTTAAATCAAAAATCTAACAGGAAATTATTGATGAACTATCATATTTTCAATGTTTGGTATTGCCTAAAAAGAATCCGGCTGGCTTTGCCCCACCGACTCGATATTTAACACCAGTTACGACAAATATCTTTATGTGGCTATTGACAGAGACTAGACTTAGATGATTCGCGAAAGGGCGTGTCCCAGGCTGCTGATGCAATTTTTTCAGGTCGTCAAGAGTACCTGCGAAACTTGTTTTTGTTCAAAACTACTGCTTCCACGCCCAGCTTCTTAGGACACACAGAAATGTACATTCCTCTCAAATAGGTCATATCGAAACGTAAACGATTCACTCAATCATTCATTACTGTAAATATTGGATTAAAGGTTTATAGTGATCTGTTAATAAGCCACATTTTCAGTATGCAAGGGGGATTGATATGAATGGTGGTGCTTAATTCTTCAATTCAGAATCAGCCACTAGCCTCCAACAATTTTCGGAACAGCTGACATATCATGACATTATCGAATTTCAAGTGATCTATAGTTACAGACCAATCATCACAATCATCAAAAGGAGAAGAACTAGAAGCTTAGTACATTAGAGGGTTCTCGGGATTGGACGTGCGGTTAGAACTGAGAATTTATGTCCCGTAGCTCGATTTCGCGTTCCTACCTTTCAGTTCATAATCTGATATTTAACCACCCTGATATCTGGTCTGAAACCTAATCGGTTGTTCCTATGCAGTCATTTATTTATTTACGCATTTCAATACCTCATTAACGATTTGGATAGTCTGTAGATTTTTAAAGTCTCCAACTGTTACCACAATGCTTCAGAAGGTATTTCAGACTGTCTCGTCCCTCCACTACTTAAGTAAGCAGTGGACTTCAGACTAATCACTTCAATGAAGGGATTCCAGACTGCTGCAACGCCACGTGCTCATTGTAATCGAGCCATATTTTCCGAGACCAATCGTTTTACTCTTGCTATTTCGCTCTCTGGAGGAAGTGCATTTATGTATACCCTGACACACATCATGACTGACATTCGTCCCTCTTTTCACTCAATGATACTTCGATTGATTCATTCATTCAGTCAGTCACTCTTTCGTTCGTCAGCTGTGGCGTGGTTTCGGAGTGTGTATAAAGAAGCTTCGAAATTGAACTCCAGAAATGCTGAATTCGATTTCGGTGGGGTACAATCTTCGGGTTTACCACGAGTTCCCTGAGCAAGAAATTACTACACACTGCTTCAAACTGGGATTAATCAGTTGGCACAGCTTCGGACTCTGAACAGGGAGGTCGTGAGTTCCGGCCCAGCGTCACGCGCCTTTCTTCCATCTGAAGTTGACAAATGATATGGAAGGAAACAGGACAATACAAACCATGCATGTCACGCAGCTGCTATTGATTCTTCCTACTTCATTAAAACATGAGTGCTAGAATTGGTCCCATCGCGTGAGTGTAAGGAAGACCGATACTTCATCGGTTACAAGCCTTCCCTCGTTTTCCTTCGTTAGTCGGTTCATTCAATCTTTCATTGGCTCATTCGTTCATTCATCCACTTATTTATTTGTTGAGTCATTAGTTCATTCATTCATTTATTCGTTCGTCCAGTCGTGCATCCGTCCTTCCAATCATTCATTCAGTGCCAGCTATTACTTTTAGTCGCAGTTTCTTCAATGAATCCAGCAAGCTCTTTGATTTAGATTCAAACGGGTCACATCATCAGTGTAGCAAACCACGGTCTTCAGGTTGCCATCTAATCATATTCATTGGGGTTCTTGAAGAGAACATGTAATTGGTACAGGTAGAGATACATCGTCATCACGCATTCAAATTCCTCGGCCTGACGAAGGACGGTCTGTAGGTAATTGGTAACTAGGCTAGGATTTGGAATATTTACACCGAGTACTTTATTCACGTTACCTCAAACGAAACAAGTGCAATTGTAGAGCAAAAAGCGGTTGAAAATTACTATCAGTCGATCCTTTGGGTCCGTGAGCTTCACGTCCAAAATAACGGTGATCGGCCGCCGTCGCGGATGACGCAACATCCATCGACACAGAACGTTCCGATGACTGGAGAAGTCACTGGCGATCGAGGACCATGGAAACATCACTTGACCGTACCTTTCGACCGAACTTAAATTGCTGCATCCTGAAAGGCACAATCAACAAATTTGCGTTGACAGCGAAAATTCTTGCCTGCCTGGTATGATATCATGATCGAGCTGTAGTTCTTTCTCTGGTGAGACCGGAACTCGACGGAAAGGACATCGTCCATCGTCACAATTGGATGAAATTTCGATTCAGCCATAAAAATCTCCCTCTTTCCTGTTCGGTCTTTACCGCTGTATACCGTAATCCATTCGCCCTTGTTCAAAAACGTGTTTTGAAACTAAACAACTCGGTTTAGAATGTTCGAAGTATTACAGAGAGAGAAAGTTTTACAGCACAAATATGAACATATGGCAAGCGATGAGGTTTCAGTTGTGAAAATGTGACATCGGTCAACGCCTCATTACGGCGACATGTTCAGAAACTGAAAATGCGGTGAACACGACACATTGCAGATATTCGTCCTGTGCAAACTACTCAGAGTAAGGAACACGCGAACGGGAGCAGCAATCATTTATTTGTTTTTTCTTGTTCAGTAGAAGAGCTGCTTTCATGTTTGCTGCCGAAGAAATTATACGCAAAGATGAAACAGTCTGTTGTACACTGATAGTCATACTGAACAAAGCAAAAGTAATGCTGAACAAAAGCTCTATGAAAAGTTTCGATTTACCACTCGAAAGATAACTGCATTATTTGTGTGTAATAGAATCGTTTTCACGTTGTTTCCTTTTTCAAAAAGAGATATACCGTATAATTCGTCCACTTTGAAGCAATCCGAAAAGAAAAGGAAAGTTTGTAACGGCTCAAATCTCGGTCTCCTTGGACTATCATGTCTGGGGGGGCTACTTCTGGCGCCCTTCATTTCGTGTAGCTTACGGTACGGCGCAGGTCGCCATTTCTAATCCATCAGTTATACATGTCTTATTTTTTACTGCAGAGTCGACAGCAGCTATACTGCAGGTAGTTTATTGCTTCCTATCTCAGAAAGGAAAAAGGAAGGGACCCTAAACGGCGCTGGAGCCCGCAAGCACTCGGTTTTGTGTCCGATGCTATACAACTCCGTTCATTTGAAACAATATCTAAGCCTTTATGATTTTTAACTCATTAATAATTACAATCACACATCGGGCTGTACAATCCGTATTAAGGCTCTGTTTCACATGCTCACTTCGATGGTAAAAGTAGGGGCAGCTCCGCGGTAGAACTGCCACATGCAATACAGCTTTTCGGTGTCGCTTTCCTTCCTCTCTAAGTCATTAGTGGATATTTTTACGTTTCCGGCACCTTCGGACACGAACACCTTTCGAAAGCATCGGTGATTGGAGCCTGAAAGCGAACGGCGGTCGACGGTTGCACAGTCAATCAACGGAAGCAGATAACGAGTAGTTTAATGAAGTGTTACGTATTCGTTTCCAGCTGATGGAGAAACCCCTGCGGACGACCGAGCTGTCGGAAACGAAGCGGAATAACAGCGAAGGCGTACAGGAGACGTAAGTGAAGTAGCCGTAATCACCGGAGAAGCGGCCAACATGGAAGGCCGATGACCACTCGAATCCGTCCCTCACCTCGAGCACGTCGTGCAACCGTTCGGTGTTGAAGTCCAAGAACTGAACGCAACCGGTCAGCTAGCATTCGGAAATACATCAAAGCGAGGTGTAGACACCTGGCCGCACCAATTACCCCAAAAAATATCTTCGACTCGTAATCAACCTCGACGTTCCAGGAGCAGTTCGCCTCATTCGAGTACCTGTTCGGGTAGTTGGGCGAGTTGATTAGGCCCTCGGTCAGGTTGCCGTTTCCGCCACCGATTAAGCCTGAGTCGCAGTGGTAACAATCCCGCTCGTCGCTGCCATCCGGACAGTCGTCTGTGCCATCGCAGAGGTAATTTTTGTTTATGCGCCACGAGAAATCCCGGCACAGGAACTCGTCCGGCAGCACGGCAGCCGTTTCGCATATGAAAGGCATTCTGGTGTCGCAGTCGGTCGCGTGGAAGCCGAGCCGGTTCTTCTGCTGAAGGTCAACGTGCAGCGAAACACAGCACACCGGGTTGCTGCAGTTTGGCTGACCGGAAGCCCAAATGGGCATGAACACCGACCACTCCTCGGCATCTCCCGTGTACAACACCAACTCGTGCGAATCTTTCGAATTGATGTAAAATCCTGAAACGGAGGTTCAGCGTAACAAAAGTATGGCATATACACCAATCAAATAAAATATCGCAAAATTTTTGATTCTTTGTCGTACGTTTCAATATGTAGAGGACATATTCTTCTAGACAAGCTGAGAATTGTTCCAATTTCTAAAATTTGGCATAAATTCTTGTAAAACCAGTAGATTTATGCGCTTTGCTTCGTTCAGTTATGAGCCTATTAATAAATTGATTATTTAGCTTATCACGTTGCCATCCCTCCAATCTGTGTGCTCTCTTTCAGCCAGGATAATGAGTCGTCTTCGTTCATGTTAACTAATTAAAGCAGGTCATTCGGTAAGCTGCTGGAACTCAACAGTCACAAACGAGCTGCCTTCGAAATTCGGGCGCTCATCGACGATGACTTCGTAAGAGAAAACTGCGCTGCATGGGAAGCTTAATAAAGGAGCGGGAAAAATACTTGTTCGTAAACTTTTCATTAGTCTTTTAACTATGATATAAACAAAAATTACACTTCTAAATTAAAAGCACATCCAATAGACACATACGACCGGCATTACCCAATCGCTAGAGTCTTAGCCCCAGAACCGAGAAATCCCGGGTTCGAGCTCCGGCCGGGTTACTCACCTTTCTTTTTTCTGACGTTCATAAATGAGTACCACTTTATGACAAGGAAACAGGTGATTACACGTTGCTGTCGGCCCTGCCTTCAAAATAGGCACTCATGGCTGATGGTACGGAAATGGAGATCAGCACCTCACCATTTTATGTATGAAAGAAAGGGCTCCAGAAATGGCCCCATAATGCATCTGTAAGAAAGATCGATATTCCATCGGTCACAAATTTTCCTCTTTTTTTCCAATAAAGAGGAATACCGAGAAACGTGTGAAAAATATGCTCAAAAACTAGAACACGCAAGCAAAGACAGAAGAAAGCAATCGTGAGAGACCCAAGAAGGGGAGCGAAATGCGGACATTCTCAAAATGAACACTATTGTGAGCATAAAAACAATCGAAGCAATGACATTCTTCAATATGACCCTTTCGAACATTGTAGCAGGAGCAATAAACTCAGTCTCGCTACAAGACCTCCAATTAAATTGAGTTTACCTCTTTCACAAGTGATAAGCGTAAACAATCCGCTGCCTACGGTTGACTAATACAAATGAACGAAAATATACTACCTGTTTTCTTAGTATTATGTATGCTAGAAAGAATCGTTAAATAACAACTTTTGTACGAACCCCTCATTGAATCTGGTATGAAGTAACGACAATTAAAGTACTTG